TATATGCATTCCAATTCATATTTTACAATTCCCAACTTTCCAAGATTCATAGTTTGTTCATTCCATGTTCCTATTATTAATGGGTATATACAGCCTTTTCTCTTCATTTTGTGTTGTGCCCATCAACAAAGGAAGTTCCTGAAGGCTTTACTCCATTGGTGTTATCACAGTTAACTCTACTTTGAGGATGCAGCTGTTCCCAGTCATATTTTGAGTGCCTTCCAACCTTAGGGGCTCATCTTCCAGTACTATATCTGACAGTATATATTTCATATTTCAATATTTAATATTCTGGTACTAACAATGTTCCACTGCTATTCATAAGGTTTTTAGTGACTAAATATTCAGAACTAGTCTGGCTCTCCTTCTTCCTAGTCTGTCTTTGTCTAGAAGCTCATCAGAATCCACTCTACCATGGGTGGTGCTGCAGGTATTTAAAATTCCCTTGGCATAGCTTCCAGAATCACAATAACACAGAAGCCACCATAGTACAATAAATCAATTTAATTATTGAAACTAAGGGATGTTTACCATTCTCCTTTACTTTTTCATGTATTTGAAAGTTCTGATATTGATAGTTTATCAAACTAACCAATACGTAGTAATAAATTTAACACACACAAAAAGTGAAAACCTTATATGGACAGTTTTTATTCTCATTGATTCTAAATAACTGGAGGGATAAACCATGATCGTGGAATGTAAAGCTTAATATTATAAAGATAGCAATTCTCTCCAAATTGATTTATACATTTAACACAAAATCTCAACAGGTATATGTGTTTGTATAGTTTAAACTTTTACAACAAACTGACAATGAAAGTTCAAAAAGTGTATGCTCAGCCTAAATAATAATCAGGGAAATGCAAAAGAAACTTATAATGAGATGGCACTCTTTATATGCCCACCAGACTGACAAATGTTCAAGTTCTGACAATACCAAATTTTGGAAAAGACCTTAAGCAAAGGGAACACTCATAAACTACTAATGTGTTAATTTGGTACAACTATTTTGGAAAACTGCTTTATATTATCTACTAACCAATTTCACACTTAGGTGGTGATCACTTTTATGGCCTCTCTATAAGCATGTATACTTCATAAGAAAACAAGTAATCTCAAGGAAAAAAAGCAAACAATCACATATACTTCCAAATATAAATAACAGAACAGGAGACACTGGAAAGTAAACTCTACCTTGGAGGACAAACAATTCAGATAGTAGACTTATTCTTTGTTCTGAACAGAATGCCAAGGCATAAGGACAAATCCCGAAACAGTAAAATCTCCTGTTAAATTACATGCATGTATATTTGGAAAATAAAGTGGTACCCAAACCACCATCAAGTCCCCCCCTCCGTGCCCCATTTTCAAATAAGTGAAATCTGAGTCAGCTGCAGGAAGCATGCCTTTACAAAAAAACAGAGGTAGATCTCAAGTGCAAGAAAAAATCAGTCCAAAAAGTACAGCAAGCCAATTAGTGAGAGCTGCTCTTAGCTTTGGGGGTAATTGCTCTCAGAAGCCATCCAGGTGCTCCACAATCCAAGTGCACCATTATTTTGTAAAAGGGCAAGGCAAAGTAGATGGAAACAAAGCACCCTCCTACAGCACAATCCAAAGGTCGGATCCCACTTCTTATTTTATTATAAAAAGAAACAGCTGATGTGAGAACACTGGCAAAGGCAAGGGTGTCTAGCACTGGAGGATGCTCTCAAACCAAAAGAAAACAAAAAACTTCAGATACCGTAATAAAAAAAAGAACAAAAGCCTTTATTTATTTACAGTTCATTTATTTTTAAAAGGATGAGGAAGCTGGGACAGATACATTTTTTTTTGGGGGGGGGGGTAAAGGGAAATAGCCTTGTTTTATTTAAATCCATTTATCTTTTTCAGTTAAACAAAATAAACAACAACAACAAAAAATTGACTTAGAATAACAGCACTGAGGTAACCCCAAGAATGTATCATCCAGTTCATCTTTCCATCTTTAGCCAAGTCTGAAAGTAGATCACTGCAGGCAGGTAAAAATTTACTCCACTTACAAGTAAATACAATTAATATTGGTGTTGCAAAAGAACTGGTTCTTGTAAGATCCATCAAAGTAATCAATATATTGGGGGGAGACGGGGATACAGACACTCACAATAAAGGACATGAAGAACCTCTGTACAGCAGCGTAAAACAGAATTGACACAAGAGACATCACATTCGGCTATTAAAGCAATAGCATCACAGTAACAGTATCCAGTGTGTTTCTTATTCAAGTATATACACTACTTTTAAGGCTTGGTTACAACAAAAACACTAGTACAAGAATATACACACAACACAATTACTTTAATAAGCACCATGACATGACAAACAACAAAAAATAAAAAGATAAAATATAATTTTATAGCAATTACAAGCATGTTAACATTACCACCATACATTTGACCTACAATTTTCCCACTGATTTGTACACTTTAAAAATAGTATTGTTTTGCTTTTTAGAAAATACTGATAATGGCTCAACATATTTTAGAAGTCAGATAATCTTTTATTTCGGTATATTTCAGTAGTTTGTATTTTATGCTATTCTTTGTTCCACCATCACAGGTCTCCCATAACTATTCCCACAACAATAGAGGTCTTAACAGATTGAAGAAAAATTACATCCGAAAACTTCTAGTTCTTTGAAATGGTTGGAAAGGCTTTTTTAGTGCCCACATCAGCAGCTGCGGTCTGGGTTTCGGTTTTTCAGGAAACAGAAGTGTTTCACTTTCTGGTGTAGGAAATCGTTGTTGGTAGACTTCAGGATAGGACTTCTGAAACTGAATAAAAGGTCCAAGAGAGTCAAAAAGACAGAGAAGAACAAATAAAATAGGTCATGTACATTTTAAAATAAGTTTTCTCATGCTTCCTGAGTTTGTTCTGCTTAATGTTTATTGTGAAAACACAGGTCACAGAACACAAACCCTTTTTATTTATTTATTTATTTATTTTTTGCTAAAGCTTTTGATCCTGTGTCCTAGTGACCAAATTAACCTTCAATTTGAACCAGTCTTTAAATAAAGTTCCCTTTTTAATCATATTTCTTAAAATTTTCTTCCATTGCCAAATATAAATAGATAAGTAACTGACTTGAAATTAACTTATGTTCTATACAGTTAAGGAGAAATCAGGCACACCAACAGTTTCACCATCTCCTTGCTTCTCCAAGTCAGTCACACCAGCTTCTTCTGCCCAGATGGAAGAGAGAACATTCTGATATATATTACTTTATGAAAAGCTTTAAGAAAAGCAATATATTTTTCCTTTGATCCACACACATCACTAAACTGTTCTCCAAATTTACTCTGAGAAAAATATAACTGGGAATTTAAAATCCGGTGCTCTGTGTGTGTGTGCGTGTATATATATATATATGTTGTTGTTAGGTGCCATCAAGTCGGTACTGACTCATAGCAACCCTATGCAAAAGAGAAGATAGTATGTATATATACATACCTCAAATGTTCATGGAAAAATCCCATTGTTCAATTCCATTTGTTCCCATAAACTTTTCAAACCCCACTCATACATGTGTGTATATGCATGTATATATACAGGGAGAAAGAAAGTCATATTTTGAAAGAGAGAGAGTCCTGGTGTTGTACTGTGGGTTAATGCGCTAGACTGCAACGTTAGCTTGAACCTTAAATTTGGTGGTTCAAGTTCACCAGCTGCTCCTTGGAAACCCTAAACAGGGTTGGAACCAACTCGATGGTACACACAACATATGACATGTATATATGTGATGCGATCAGGAATTCAGCTATGTAAAGCTTGGTATTTAAAAACAAAACCATTTATCTGACATTTGATCAATACTTAGATTGTTATTTTTAAGTGCCATCCAGTTGGTTCCAACTCATAACAACCTTATATAGCATGTCCAAGGAGCAGCTGATGGGTTTGAACCACTGGCCTGACAGTTCAAGCTGACCTTGCAGTGCAGTGCTTTATCCTACACCACCTTACCAGGTCTCCAATATTTAGATTAGGAATGATAAAATCAATTGATCTACTCCATGAAGAAAACTATTCACTAAGACTCTATGCTGTGCTGCACAGCATAAGAACCAAACACTTTTAAAGACGCTTAGGATGAGAAGCCAATTTGATATTGGCCACCTATGGATTTTGGAGTTCTTGTGTGGTGCTGCATAATAAGCTAATTGGACTGCTAATCACAAGGTCGGAAGTTCAAACCCACCAGTTGCTCCTTGGAAATCTTATACAGGGTTGCTATGAGTTGGAATTGGCTTGATGGCACTTAACAACAACATCATCTATGGCTTTTAAACTCTAAACATTTCACATTTGATTTGCCTTTCAAATAAATCAAGATATCTGGCCTCATTTGACAGCCTCTCCAAGTCTACAATAATTGCTCCACTAACTCTCATGATGTCACATATCAAGACAAAGGACAAATATTATTGAGAAGAGTGCAATAAATGAAGAGTTCATTAATAGTCAAAGGTCTACATTGAAAAGAAAGAGAACTGCAAAACTGACCACAACAGTGAAAATCAGTGTGACTTCTACAATATATGAACTGAATAATATACTTTCAAAACTAGCATGTCTCTACATTAACTGGAAGAGAGTAGCTGGGATAACCAGATATCTACATATGAAAGAAAGAAGCTGCTCTCCTACCTCACACCATACACAAAAATTAACAAAATATGGAACAACTATATATGAGAGTTAAAATCATAAAACTCATAGAAGAAAATATAGGGGGTAAATCTTTAGGTCCTAGCATTTGACACTGGACACTTAGATACAAAGGAACCCTGGTAGCATAGTGGATTACGAACTGGGCTGCAACCGTAGGTCAGCAGTTTGAATCTATCAGTCAGTCCTTGGGAGAAAGATGAGACTTTCTGATCCTGTAAAGATTTACAGCCACAGAAATGCTTATACAGGGTCACAATGAGTCAGAACTGACTCATTAGCTAACACCAAAACAAGCAAAAGCAACAAACAAGATAATAATAATAATAAATAAATTAGACTATAAAAATTGATGAAGCATGAATCTAGGAAAATTGCTAATTATCAAATATGAAAATGAACGCATAAACATCGATATTTTAGGTATTAGTGAGCTGAAATGGACTGGTATTGGCCATTTTGAATCTGACAACCACATAGTTTATTATGCCGGAAATGACAAATTGAAGAGGAATGGTGTTGCATTCATTGTCAAAAAGAACATATTCACATCAGTCATGAAGTATAATGCTGTCTGTTATAGGATAATATTCATGTTTCTACAGGAAAGCCCAGTTAATACCACTCATTATTCAAATTTGCACACCAACCACTAAAGTCAGTGAGGATGAAGTAGAAGACTTCTACCAACTTCTTGAATCTGAAATTGACCTAACATGCAATCAAGATGTATTGATCATTACTAATGATTGGAATTAGCCAAATACTATAATAAAATGTGCAGGGATTTGGAGTTAGAAAACCAAAAGGGAAGAACACGGTCAGTATTTCTCAAGCTGGGGGAACTGAAG